CATTCATTTAATATTTTTGGATTAGTTTTTTCAAAAAATTTAATATTTTTGGATAAGCTTTTAAAATGCTTCTTCCAAATATTCAATTATTAAAAATATATCAATGTATAAAAAACATACACATATCGAAATATTAAAATATGTTTTTTAAATATTAATCATTTGAAATGCTTACCCAAGGATATTAAATTGAGTCCAAAATTTGACTTGCATATACTGCTGAAAAATTTGGAGAGTAAAGAATGAGAATTGTAACTGGGACTTTATGGACTAGATTTAATTTCCATTACTATGCAATGCAAAACAAATGTTTAAATGCAAGGTAGATATTAAAACTCCAAGTTTCTTAAATATTCTTTAATTATTTCAAAATTATTTAAGGCAGTTAAATGATGTTCATTTGGAGGGCTAACAAAACGTTTCCTGGCACCATAATGCCATTACTAGCCTCTATCCCCAGACAAGACACATCCACCTGGTTTATACCAAAAATCTTGTACAATTAAGAGTTAGATAGAATAACAGTGGTGCATAATCATACCATGGCCAAAGTCACTTTGATTATGCACCTCCTCTGTTCTTATATCTAAATCTTAATTGCACAATTAAGTCTCATGATGATGGGTGCATAATTTTTTATATCGAGTTGCAACCAATGCTTGCTTCTTTTACTATTGTGTTTATGAGCAGAGATACCTAATACAATGCCTAATATGCATTTTGTGCATATATAGCCATCAATTTATTATAGTTGCAAGCACTGCAAATTTAATAAATTAATTATAATTTGTTTTATATCTATATTAATATTTGTAAAATATTTTCATGTCTGTGAAGATTCACCATCATCAATATAGCTTGATTGGCAATTTTAACTTGTTTCATATGGTCCTTTAACACTCAATATCAGAGAGATGCAAACTGTATGAGCATGAAATAAGTATTTGGGGGGAATGTGATTAATATATTAAATATAATTAATGAATATTGGTAACATAAAAGCAAGAACAAATTATTAATCATCCTCTGTATGATGTGTAATCCAGTCATACATTTTGTTGTAGAATGAACAATTTAATGTTAATCTATGCATTCATATAATTAGTTATTCAGAGGATAATTGATTGATTTAGCTTTGACAGTCCCCAGTGTGCTTAGAATATAAATCTATCCTTTTTTATTTTATTTCATAACACTCCTTATTGTTAAACCATTTGTATGATTAAGTTATGATCTACTGAAGACATAGAAAAACCATAATAGTGCCATAATTGTCCATAATTTAATAAGTTTAACATTTCTAGAGAAGGACATTTTTAATTGCACCTATTGTCAAAGCATCTGGCTTGTGGTTGTGTCTTTAGAACCCAGGAACAGGAAGACAAAAACAATTTTAGTTCTGTTGACACAGTCAGAAAAAGGTTTTTATTAAATAAGGTATAGGAATGCAAGCTAAAACCAGTGCAAATTAGATAAGACAGGATATATGGAGATTTTCTTTAGACAACCATACATTTCTGTTAGATAACATTGAGTTGACAATACATTGGGATTTATCAGTCTACCATTTTCTGCTACACTTCTGATTCTATAGAAGTTCAAAATGCTGATGTATGCTGTGCAGATGACAGGCACCCAGACCACTTCTGCCCATTGGAGTGGTCTGGGTGCAAACTCCCACTACTCTTAACCCTGCAAGTGTTATTATTGCAGTTTTTATAAACGTCAATAATTACCTTGTAGGGTTAAGTCCTTCTCTAGTGGCTGTCTTTCATTCAGACATCCACTAGAGGGACTTCCGTGTTCTTAGAACACGAAAAGTGTTTTAAATGATGCTGGACGTCCTTACGCTATGCATGAAGACCTCCAGAATCGCCGTATCACCCACAGGAAATCACTGATTAATACTTTCCTATGAGGAGGTCTAATGCGTGCGTGCGACCATTGTCGCGCATGCTCATTATGTCTCCCCCGCCGGCTGACGTTGGCGGGGGAGGACCGTGGGCGGAGCCTGACCCAGTGCCAAGGGACATCTGTGCTGGATTTCCTTTCCGAAAGCAATGAAAAACAAGGCAAATCAGGTAGAGTATTATAACTGGAGTAGGAGGTTAGCATTTTAACAAACTAATTTATTTGATTGTTATAGATGAAATCAGCTGTGCGTAGAATAAACCGTCTCTGAAATATATGGTGGTGTACCAATGGGTTCACTCTTCCAGTGTTTCTTTAGTTGATCTTCAGCCCATTGATATTGAAATATATACAAAAATCATATAATATATGATACTGCAGAAGAAGAGCCACAAATATAAAAAAAAAAAAACAACTATTTGATTAATATGTGGCTGTCTTGCAAGCTTCCAGTAGCCTGATGGAAACAACAAATTTGTTAACATATACATTATACATTATTCCATTTTGGAGGGGGACAGGCCCATAATGAAATACATGCAGATGTCAGCGATGTTCCTGGCATAGGAAAGGACTGGATAATCCATCATGGTGCTCTTGAACAGGGAGCAGAAGTTGGAGAACTGAACAAATGACTAAACATGATAAAGTGATGACTGCAAAAAAGACATGCTTTTCCGTACATGTTTTTCAGGGGGAAAAAAAGATACATAGCTCTTTCTAGCTAACAGTGACATTTCCCCTAAGAACACTTATAATGATCAAACTGACTCATTCTTAGCTAAAACTTTTTTTAAAAGGATAAACTAAACTCCTTGTTAGTGATTGACCTAAAGGTAGCTCTTCAAGAAAGAATGTGCAAGATCTTGTGCTATGGAAACATAATATAACAGTTGAATAATAGAATTCTGAATATTCTGTATATTTATATAAGCCTTTAGGGATTCTGTGTGATTTTTCCACCTGGACTGAAAGTGTGAACCTGCTTATTTTTAGTCTGTCTTTCTTACTTGGCCATAATCACTGGTACGAAATTATATTTAGATTACAATCATTGACAGAATGGATACAAACAAAATATGATTATTATTAAATTTAACTATTGTGAACTGAACACATTCATTTGATCTGCTTTAACAACTGTAACCTCTAAATTAATCTCTGAATGTTTGCTTGACTGATCTGACTCCCTGTTATTGCTCAGAATAGCAAGTCACCGGTAAAAGTGTCAGAAGACAAGATTCTAAAACTCCTCTTAATATGGTTGCAGTCTTCAGCCTATCCTGTTTCACATCACAATGTTCCGATGGCCTAAATAGCTACAGGTTTATTTATTTAACCAATACAGAGCAAGCAAAATAACTGAGGGGGAATGGATTAAGATAAATAATCAAGGATGGCCCTTCTAGCAATTTCTAAAAAACAAACAAACAAAAAACTGACTATACATCAGGAAAAGTCTGATTCAGTGTAATCATTAAAATGGGTTGTTTAGTTGTTTGTTTTTTGTCTCAATATCATATGCTGCAGTGTTTGTACTAGCACTATAAATACAACTAAATGTAAGTACACTAAAAATATTACACAATGAACCACTCATCAAATAAATAGGTACTGTTTCATCATTGTAAAGTTAGTTTTATAAATTAATAAAAATGTATAGTGTCATGGGAAAAAAGTACACCCTCTTTGAATTCTATGGTTTTACATATCAGGACATAATAACAATCATCTGTTCCCTTGCAGGTCTTAACATTGGGTAGATACAATCTCAGATGAAAAATAACACATGACATATTACAATGTGTCCTTATTGTTTTGACAAAAATAAAGCCAAAATGGAAATGTCATGTGTGGAAAAACTAAGTACACCCTTACTGCCTACATAGGAAATAAGAGGCTAAGTAGCAGACAGGCTCTGCTAATTAAATAACTTTGATTAATTTATCATCAGCAGATTTGCAGTTTTCTGGTCTGGAGCATTGAAGTGTCTGTTAACACAATGTCAAGGTGGAAAGACAACAGCAATGACCATAGAGAAGCAATTGTTGTTGTCCATCAAACTGGGAAAGATTATAATGCCATTTCCAAATAATTTAAAGTCCATCATTCTACAGTGAGAATGGTTATTCCAAAGTGGAAAACATTTAACACAGTGGTGGCATGGGCATCCCAGAAAATTCACCCCAAGGTCGGTCCATGCAATGCTCAGAGAAATTGCAAAAAAACACAATAGTTACATCTTAGGCCTGAACAAGTTAAATGTTAAAGTTCATGACAGTTATAAAAAGACTGAACAAGTGTTGGAACAGTTGCCAAGAGACAGCCTCTTCTCTCTAAAAAGAACATTAGAGCATGGCTAAGGTTTGCAAAGTTGCATCTGAGCAAACCACAAGACTTCTGGAACAATGTCCTTTGGACAGACAAGACGAAAGTGGAGATGTTTGGTCATAATGCCAAACACAACAAATCAGCACAAACACCTCATTCCAATTGTCAAGCATGGTGGTAGAGAGGTGATGATTTGGGCTTGTTTTGCAGCCACCTGGAATCTGGGAACCTTGCAGTCACTGCGTCGACCAAAATTCCTCCACAACAATGTGAGAGACTGATAAAGACATACAGAAAATGATTACTTCAAGTGATTGCTGCTAAAGGTTGTTCTACAAGCTATCATAAGGTGTACTTAGTTTTTCACACATGGCATCTCCATTTTCGCTTTATTTTTGTTGAATACATCATGACATGGTATATGTCATGTGGCATTGTTCATCCGAAGTTTCATCTGATATATATATATATATATATATATATATATATATATAATACAGCCAATAGTCATATATAAAAAAAATTACAGCCACTTTTTCCAAATGCTAACAAATGTATAAATGTTGAGTTGGTGCATGGACTGTCCCTTTAATATAACCCCAATGTGAAATTGGTTTATCTCTTTAGATTCTGGCACACAATGGAAAGCATAAACAGGACAAATATAGAAGAATTGCTAATTACTGGATTTGCTGTTGGGTCTAGACTACGAATCATCATATTTATAGCATTACTCTTGGTTTACTTTGTTACAATAGTTGGAAATATGTTTATAATATGTATTATTTGTATAGATTACCATCTCCACTCACCTATGTACATTTTCTTGGTTTGTTTGTCATTCATGGAAATCTGTGGCATTTCCACTGTGATATGCAAGCTTTTGTTCATCCTTATGTTAAAGAATGAAACTATATCAAGAGCCGGATGCCTTACACAATCCTATTTTTATTTTTTTATAACCTCTTCCGATTTCCTACTCTTAAGCGTTATGTCAGTTGATCGTTATGTGGCAATCAGCTATCCACTCCAATACACCTCTATTATGAGAAAGAAAACATGTATCAGATTAGTGATTGGATGTATATTAACTTCATCTGCCTGCCTTCTGTATCCTACTGTGACAATCTCAAGTGCGCCCCTTTGTGGTCACGTGTTGAATCATTTCTTTTGTGACAGTGGAGCTTTCATGAAATTGATCTGTGTAGATACTACATTAATTAAATTGTCTGCAGTAATAATATCAGGCATAATCCTAATTGGACCTTTAGTCATTACAATCATATCCTATTTGTTGATTGTGTTGACTGTAATACAAATTCCATCGGACACAGGTCTAAGGAAAACATTTTCTACTTGTATGTCTCACCTCACAATGGTGTCTATAGTTTTTGGGAGTGCAATATTCATTGAAATTAGGCCATCCGGGGATTATTCAATAGAGACAGACAAAGCTGTGAATCTGATAAGCACTTTATTGGGTCCTTTACTCAACCCCTACATTTATACTTTAAGGAATAGGGCAGTAAGGGACTCAATCAGAAATTCAGTGAGAAGGAAAATGAATTTCTTACATTAGATGCATAGTGTATGTGCATACACGCGCGTGCATTCAGTGTCATACTTACCGATCGTTGATTCCCATGGAGACACTTCTGGGTGTCGCGGGTCATGATCTGCCCTTGCATCTGACGTTAGATGCAGCCGCAATAAAGGGAAGCCATGTCAGCCTTGAAATTGTTCAATAAATTTGTAGCTAAACTATATTTCCCTAGGAGCATTGCTCCTATTTGCCGGTCACGTGTTACTACTCCGTAGAGTGAGCCGTGCGTCATTCGCCACTCACTACTACATTTCCCAAACCCCCTTCCCCGATCACGTGATGTTATTTAATACATAATATCTTTACAAATAACCCTCTTTTTTAACAAAAAATTATATTCTGTGACACATATAAGTCCCATTTATACAAATATTAAACTTTATGCTACTTTGTAAGAAACAAAAAAATTTGTGTTAATTCTTGTTTGCAACTGGTGCAATTGTTTTAGGCGCCAATTTTAACTATTGTATATTGCTATATATACTGTTCAATGCCAGGTATACTGTTCTTTTGCCATTTTTTTGAAAAAGCCCCAGAGGTGAAACGCGTTAAATGGTTTTATACTATGTATTTTATCAATAAAAACTTTTATTTGGTACCCTTATTTATAGGACCAATCTTATTTTATTGTATATACACTTTTTTTCATTAATTTATTTTTCTTGGCATTTTACTGTATCCTGCTCAAGCAATCCATAGGTGGGGATTATTCCACCAGTGCTGTACCTATAGAGCAGTATTTTCTGCTCTATCATTGTGAGTATATTTTATTTTATTTTAATTTTCCTTTTATCTCTTCAAACTGTTTTCATTTATCCTGCGGAATACTATGGAAATCAAGTTGGACGGACAGACCCATTTCCACAGTATATCCTTTAGCGGGGATTATACCGCTAAGTGCCCTTCATCCAAGAGCTGGTTCAAAGCTCCATCAAATGTGAGTGTATTATCTTCCATTTTTTATCTCATTTATTCTTTTAATTACAATACTATACCATTGGAAGTTTGTTGTGCTTTTATCTTCACATATACGGATTACCTACAACCCGGACGGATTAACTCCTGAGGACTGTATACACAGCCTATCCATATATCAGTGAGACGTTTTTATATATTTTATTGGACATTTTACTATTTTGATCTCTACTGCTGGATGGACATTGTTTTATTTATTTTACTTGAACAAAAGACTATTTTATCCGACTATTTTATCCAATTTTTATACTGTGACATATTTATTATCTCTTCCAAAATAGCGCAGCCCTTCACCCCCTTTCTTTTTCATATATATATATATACTTGTACATGCATTCTTAATGTGAATGAACAAACATACACTAGTCACAGAACACAACTCTGTGCCCATTTGCAATGGTTTTAGGGTAATTTAGGGCATAACTAAAACTAGAATCCAATTAGAAAAGACAAATGGAGAAATAAGGGGAAAAACTCCAAAAGAAATTACCCTTGAGTGCAGAAGCTTAAAAAGGGGTAAAAAAATAAAACAATAAAATCAAAAAATAATAAACAACTATATATCTACTTAAAAAGGTGTAAGCTGCTAGGTACATGAAAGGTGATTACTAAAACCTTTAAAATCGAATGTGGTAGAAAAAGTCAGCACTAAAAAGTATGCCCCTGAATGTTAAAAAAAACAGGGGGATCGGAGTAAAAATACTTCAGTTCTTAAATGCAAAGTCTGTTTCCCACCTCCATAGTGGTGGATATAAAATATCAGGGTTAATAATAATGAACATTATTATTATTATTAAACCTTATATTTTATATCCACCATTATGGAGGTGGGAAACAGACTTTGCATTTAAGAAGTGAAGTATTTTTACTCCGATTCCCCCTTTTTTTAACATTCAGAGGCATACTTTTTATAGCTGACACTAAAATAAAATAATCCTTAATTAAGTCCTTATTAATGGATATGATTGATAAAAAAGAAAAGAAAATCAAACACACATTAAGTGAAAAAAGAGAAAAAGTGCTTATAGTGGAAAAACTGTGTGAGTGTATTAAAACAGATTGCTGAGGAGCACTTCAAATTCAGTGAAATAGAGCTGGAGGCCACTTAGTATAATTAAACTTTATAGTGTATAATTATATTGGATTAGAAAATATAATTCAATAAGGTAATTACGTATTACCAAGCATTAGAATGGCTGTAGTTAACGAAATAGAATAAACAGTAACAAGCTGAGGTCAGTGTTACGAAAGCCCCTCTGTATGCTGCAAGACTATCGCTTTCTTTACCCGGGTTGCTAATTGACACAGTAATGGATACTTTTCTTGTTATTTCTATTTGGATACTTTTAATACCGTGTTATACGAATGATCCTGATTACTCATTCGTACATACGAACAGCCGACCACCCAGCCCTTAACGTGTGCCGCCACTTAACCCCAGTCACCTTTGAAATCACCGAAAGACCTGATGAACGGTCGACCACCATATGAGCGGAGTGTGCCTATAATTAACCTCAGAGGAGCTGCGGTTTGCGGTTAACCGCAACCTAATCGATTGGCTTCAGGGTGGCCCCGTTTGGATAAAAGGATTACGACGACCACCTACCATCTGGTGTGTGGCCTCAATTAACATGTGGTTTCTGTGGTTAAACGCAAGTTAAGTACCTCTTTCAAGGTGGGCGCCGTTCGTATGCCGAACACGAGGCGGTGGAAATCTTTTGTTGTCAAATGCCCCAGCGGGATTTAAGCCCCAAGTGCCTGGAACTAGAATCGGCCAAAGATTTACACGAACACCGCCAAGATGTCAGTTGTCCCATCCGTTCGTACCAAAACCTACGAACAGACTTTGTATTTTGTTTTATATACCGTTCGGGAGATCTGAGCGCAATTCGTATATCTTGTGCGCTCAGATCTAAGCTATCCAGATAACGTTATGTATTTTTATGTTATTTTCATGTGAGTATAAAATGTGGTATTTCCATGAGCTTGGAGATAATTAGGTTAGTGTAACCGTTGAAACCAATTATCTCCAAGCTAGGCAGGAACATTTTCAAATGATACACTGTAATGCCATTGGTTGGGACATTGCATTTTCCAGTATCCCATCAGGTCCAGAAGGGGTTGTCTCTGGACCTGATAACTGTATAAATTTGCCATGCATGAGTGCCATTAAATCAGATCATTTTAGCCTCAACTTGCAGCCTTGACTCGTGTTGTAGGGAACAGTGAATCCAAGCTCTACTATAGCTAGTGGGATATTCGACACTTGCAGGTTTTTGCCGATTGTAGCAGCGTTCGTCTCTCTGAGTTCGGGAACCAGGATAACCAAGCGGTTCAACTTTCAGCTAGCCTGGAGGCAACCATAACAGCCAGGAATACAGAAAGGAACAAATATGGAAAGAAAGGGTCAGGTATACCAGAAATACGGGAAGTCAAACAAAGCCAAGATCAAAAACCAAATATCAGAATCAGGAACACGCTCTCGGATAACCAACAGGAAACCACAACAGGGCACTGAACTGCAGGTTTGGGTTTTAATAACCCAGTAAATCCTGCTATTGGCTGATTTGGGTCCCATGACCCCAGAACATGCGTGCATGGCAAAAACGTGACACCAGCATGATCACCTCACTAGTGAGGTCATTGTGGGCGGCGTTATTATATAGCGCCACCTTGCAGCGGCTGGCATCCTTCCTAACACTGGACCCGGACACTGAATTGCAAACTGCACGGAGGGAGAGGCTCTAGAGGTAATGTGAGTAACCTCTCCCTCCTTAAGTGTAACTGCACCAATCAGATGTGATCACATTGTGGTGCCGATCAGGCACTGTTACAGTAGGCAGAGCATCAATTTTTGTTATTTCATTTATGATTACCCTAACCTACACAAGGGTTCTGGTAGCTACTGATCAATTTAAATTGCTGCATACTTTAAATTTATAGTTAAGCTCTCACCTTCTGTGATTAAAATATGAGTGAGTGAGATTCCGTCTTACATACTATTACTATCTTGTGTATGTCTGTGTGTGTGCTCACTATAAGGATATTATGGCACTACGAAAAAATGGCGGGCTACAAAATTAATAAAAGGATTGGAGCATTTTAGCTATGAAGAAAGGTTAACAAATGTAAACCTTTTTAGTTTAGAAAAACGTCTCAAATGAGATGTGATTACATTATACAAATATCCGGGGCCAATACAAACCATTGTCTGAAAGTCTGTTCATAAACAGGACTATACATAGGACATAAGGTCATGCATTTAGACTAGAAAAAAAGATTAAGTCTAAGACAAGAGTTTTTTTTGTTTGTTTTTTACAGTAAGAACAATAAGGAATTTGACAGCCCAGACAGTCTCCCTGCTGGCAGATCCACAGCTAGCTAAAGGGGGCCATGTGATCGCTCTTTGAAGCATTCACATGGCCCATGGGGGCCCGATTTGCTGTGGGAAGGCTGCCTGGGCTGTCAGGCAGTCCTCCCGAAGAGGATCGCAGTGGAGGTAAGTACCGCGGACCTCCTGGGGGCTTAAGCCGTTACGGCGTTCTATGCCGCCTCAACGGCTTTAAAGCCCATTGTGATGGGGACAGCATAGAAAGCTGTAATGGCATTAAGGGGTTAACATCCCCATCTAAGAAGTAGTCCCTTATTTCCCTTTAGGGATAAGCTATAAAGGCATAACAATGTATCAAAAGTAATTGTTGGAACATACTCGTGCCCTGGGTGATCACCAGAATTACCTGCTATAGCCTTACCGTTCTATCCAGACCGAGCCACAACCTTCCGGTACTGGGAGACACCCCGTTGATAGACATACAAGGAAGTCGGTTCAGGGAAATGTCTGCTCTTTATTAAACAGAACCATGGGTTTATAATAACATGCAATAAAGGGAAGTCTGGGAGAGAATTATTAGATACCAATCAAATGTTGACAACTATTAAATAACAGAATGGCTAGCTCAAGCATACATTATGGTATGGGCATGTAACAAATAATTGATATAAAACTTATC